AAAGAAACAGTTTTTTCCGTCTATTTTTACAGTTTTTCGGGTTCTGAGTTCAGATCATCTAGTTGTTATAGCTTCTGAGATTTTTCGATGAACAAAACAAGATCTTACGAATATGGCATAGAGAACCATTTCTTGAACGGTCAATAAAGGCCATCCCGCATGCTCGGTTTTGTGATCCTCAAAAATCTCGAATATTGCTGTCGTTAGCCCACCAATCAGTGAAGTCAATGCGCACAAAGATATTGGAGCCGGAAAATCATGAAGAGTAATAGCCTGCAAGTGGAATTTCGAAAATCGAGGTCCGAAATTTATTTATTTATTTTTTGTAAATAGAAATCCTTTTATTCGGTTTTTAGTTACTCACCTGTAGAACAACTTGGCTCGACAGAACAAGAACTGCTGCAATGAGATATATGCAGCCGATAATAGTTTGATTGTCTAAAGCAACACTCTTCTCGCCTGCTGCTGGTGGGGAATCATTAGCTGTGTTGCGTTGCACGATACTCTGCATGAGACTCATTGTTACGGCCCCAAATACACACAGCAAAGTCCCGATGATTTTGGCTTGGCTGTAAATGCATCCTAGCTCTATTTTCTCTAGTCTGCAAAAAAGATGTAAGGAATTTTATTTATTGAATGAGTTACCATATCTTTCGAATAAGAAAAATGTGATAATAAATCAAATTCTAGAATTTACCTCGATGCCCAGGCAATGATAAATATAAGTCCCGGTGCAAGATTCGGCATTGCTGTAGCCATTGCTGGTGAAGTGAGACTAGTTCCCTTCATGAACAGAGACTGGAACACAGTTACACTGAAAATGCAGAATAATAAGGCTTCTCTTTTTGATAGTTTTATTCCAGTAAAAAAAAACATTTGAGAGCTTTTGTCTTGCATTAATTTGTTTTAATGCAAAAACAACTAACATATTAAAATTCATGTACTGTTCTCTTTTTCTCTGGCTCCCTATAACCAACTAACATATCAAAATTCATGTACTGTTCTCTTTTTCTCTGGCTCCCTATATTTAACTAACATATTAAAATGGAAAGGGAGAGAATGAGAGGAGACAAAAGATGGTTACCCTCCAAAAGAAAGTAAAAGCAACTGAATCAAAAACTTCCAACTAATTCTTTGAGGCCATAGCTTCCTGTAATAACATGAACAGATGATCAGATAGTGCTTTTCGATTTATGCGACCATAAACGTAAAATAAAAAAAAAAATGAGAAAAAGAAGAGATAATCTTGCCTTTCAAAAAGGATGGAGAAAGGGGAGAGAATTAGAAATGTCGAAAAGCTAGAGAAGATAATGAGATTCGAAGGCCGGACCCTGAATTTCAAGATGTAACTCAGCAAGATTGAATTCCCTGCATAAAGAAACTGCACGGCCAACAATCCAATAAACACAAAGGCATCCTCGAGTGCAACCCGATTTTCTGACAGCCATATTCGAATCATGATTTTCGGAGCTTTGTAGAGGAGAGATTCTTGATACATGAAGAGTCTCCCTTTTGCCTTCTTGTGGTTTTTTTCTCTATGCATGCATGATCACGTGTTCTACTAATTGTTCCTTTTTTTTTTCAATTTTCAACCATTCAACATTTCAACTATTATTATGCAGAAAATTTCTGATGGATTTTCTTATTCAGGGAACCATAAATGTAAGATTACAGATCTTTGTATCTTGTGTCTTGTGTTATGGTTTGATATCAGATTTTCTGCACTTTTTTCTAGNAAACGGATATATAAATGTTGTGGTTTGTAAATTTATATTTGTCGATCATTTTAAGAATTTCAGAAACAATAGGAAAGATTTTCTCCAAAATGAATGGCTGAGACTCAAGAGTCTTCTTTAAGATGGAAAAGCTCACCCAACAATGTGGGATTCGAATATTTTGTCTGTAACTTTTTTTACTTGAAAAGTTAGGTAACCGATATACCCTTTTAATTATTTATACATCACACTTTTACAATCCAAATGTAGCTATTGCTGCCATTGGTTTGTATATGTTCATGATGTTGGGTTCAGTCTTCGGACAAATAATAGCAATGAGATCAAATTTCTAGATAGTTTCTTTTACATACCATCGGACATCTATAAATAGTACTACATGATTCATTAACTCAAGATTTTGCCAAATTCAATCCTTTCATATTTCTATTACCTTCCAACCTTTTTTTTTTAGCAAAAATGTCTAACTATGATATGAAATGTCATACTTTTGTTTATATTATTTAACATTTCAATTTAAAAGTAGGCACATCTACCGAATAATGTATTATTGTCTAACCGCTCCTACTGCACTTCCCACTTCCACAGCTACACTTGAGTTTCATTTATTCTGTTCTGTATAAAAATATATAATCATGAACATGCCAGTAACTAGTTGTTGCTTGAAACCAGCATCTTTACCTACACTTAGGTCTCATATTTCTTCTGTATATAATCAGGATTCAGGAACATGCAGGAACTTGTCATAGCTTGACAGTCCAAACCAGCATTCCAATTCATTCATAATTGATCGGTTGAATAAATCACACGTGCAACACATCCAAGCAATCCATGTCACAATATAAACATGAAATGGTAAATCTGCCTTCATAAATGATAAAACCCAGCAGCCATAAGAGTTCAAGGTGAGGCCGTAAACATTTTCAACATCAGTTAGATCTACAAACACCTGCTCTCCAATAACTTTGGCACCAATGCCACGCATTCAAATCCCCTACATAGCACAAGACTAAACAGATAGAGAAATCTAGTATTGCCTTTTGTTCAGTCCACAACTCTTCAAAACATGACAACATTACCTTAGACAGATAGCTCCCATGGAATAAAACTTGAACCAAAGCAACAACTACATCCTGAAATGTTTTTGGAAGCAGGTAATTCAGATTGCGAGTGCACTTAAGAATAAATATACAGACCCATACTTCCAAATTATTGCATTCAATACCTCAATAACCTGGATATCCCTATTGGAAACTCACCAAAGTTCAAAACCAACAACCAATTTAGTATCTGTGATATGGTCTCCCAAAGTCATCTCGCCTTTGACGTTGAAAGTCTTCATAAGGGTAACCATGGTCAACAGCATTAGGGTATCGGCCCCTAGAGTGCATAACATCTCCTGAATGATGAGGATTTCCAGAAGAAGTATTTAGTTCGACATAACCCGATTGCTTGTAGCCACCAAAACCCACTGCAGGAACTTGCAGGCGTGTTTCTTGCCTCCTCTGGCCCTCCACTCGAAGAAATTCGTCCCACATATTCGCATGTGTTCCCATCAGTGTAGCTGCCTTTTTTGTGTGACTTTCCCATATTTCTCTAAGAGCCTGACAACGAAAACATACCCAACATATAGATAATGAGTGTAGTTCCTGAATACAGCTAAAATATGTAAACACAAAAGGTCATTTTTTTTAATTGAAAATTAGTTAAGGAAATACAAACAATCTATCAACGCACAACAAACCTCACGATGCTTGCAATTTTCTTCATCTTCTTCTGTGTCTCGAATCCTTGCAAGTTCCATGGCCTCCCTTTTATACTGTAACTCTAAATCCTCCAGAGTCTGGGGAAAGGGAGGATAGTTAAAGTTAGGGTGATCCGATTGCATGTTTAATCTGCCTCTATCAGAATTCCAGCCATCTGTCCTGATGCCACCTCTGTTGTGAGTGTGGTCTCCGTACGAATTGTTATAGGATTTTCCATAGTACGAGGGACGTGCGGGAGACTTGGAACGACTTGGTTGACCTCTAACTCCATCACTAACATAAGCTTCACCAAAGGAAGATTTTTGTTAAGCACTTCCATGTTTTCTCAACATCTCTAAGAATTCTTGAAGCTTGACACTATCTATAGTGTATCCATCTGGGGGCAAACGAGACTTGATACGCTTTGAATTAAAAAATCAATTTTTGGGAGACCATCCATTTCAATTCAGAACCACCACGAAAGTAATATCAGAATCGAACATAACACCTGAGCCTAAGAACTTACCTCTCGCTGCAAAAAAATTACGAGAAACAAGCAGCATTACTGAAAGATATGTACCGTGCAGAAAACACAGAAAAAAATAAATAAATAATGTAAAAACAAATATACTCATAAATCTTAAAGCCCATCCATATGCATAAGAGTAAAGCATTCAAAGTTGCACCTACCATGGGGAGACCCACTTGACAATTTCTGAATATCTTGACGAACATGGTCTTCCATGACTCTCTCTTGTCTACCATACCTATGTGGGATATGTGGAGCATTGTGAGGGCTCGAATTGGACTTCTGGGAACCCGATCGTCCCATTCTAGAGCTATGAGGACTTCTATGTTCAAGTGACTTGGCACGCGAAACAGGGGAGCTAGAAGCCCCTTTGTTCTCACCCTCTCCATGAAATTTTTGACAAGCCTTGTTGTCGCCTCCTTCTCTAATTTTGTGAACAGCATCGACACCTTTTCTCAAAATCAGCCTATCTTTGCCACTGACAATGATAAACTTTTCGTCCATCTTGATCTTACAACCAATGTCCTTCTCAATTTTCTTCAATACATCTTCTGAGAATAAAGCTCTCATGTGAGGGTCCCTCGCAGGCACCCTCTCAAAGAAATCTTGGGACTTGCGGTTTGCCCCAAGTGTAGATGGACAACCCTTGAAAGTTCCAATTTTTTAGCAAAGAGAAAAGAGAAATGAATGCAGTGCTGATACATAATGAAAATAGATTATCATCAAAACAGCAAAGAACTGAGTAACTGACATCATCTTTTTCCCGTATTCTATGTCTGTTCAGATTGTTCTCCAGTCTGACAATGAAGATTTGGACACACAATTTTTTCTAAAATTGAAGAATGTCAAGTTGGGACAAGATAAGGCACAACACCTATTGTGTAAGAATTATAGGACGAAGTTTGAGTACAACCATTGCTCATATTCTTTGTGGAAATCAGCAAGGTACCATGAAGCAAATCCATGCAGCAGCATATGGAGTTCTATTTTCCCCCAAAATATTGCAAACAATTACTTTCATACGTCGCTACGTATATAACATCCAAGTCATCAGTACAAGTATGTGATAATAAAAAACAAAAAGCAACAGCAATCAACTAATATTGTTCGAAACATGTACCTGGGTGAAGTGGCCTGATTCGCCACATATTTTACAAATCATTTCCTCCTCTTTTCTCTTTTTCCAGTTCCTCTCTGTAGCTTTGGATTTAGCTTCCCAAACCTTTGCTTCGCGGCTAGTAAAATCTGTTGGGACAGCATTAGGGTCACGAGCTTCCTCCTCTTCATCTGACCCAGCAAGGGATCTTTTGTTTGTGGCTTTATCTTGTTCTTTTGGAGGATTGGAACTCACAGGGCCAGTATACGCCTTGTATATTTCACTGAAATCATCATCGGCATCCAAATCTTCAGTACTAACCATCTCGGAAGAATAGAAAAAACTTCTATCGTCTGCATTCATTAATGATACAAAAGGAAAGTCAGTTGATACAGGAAAAGGAGAGAGAACGCAAGAAAACCATTACAAAATCAAACAATGAGCTAGTTTAATATACTTTTTTAGTGATATTACATTTCCGATCCCGTGTAGTAAAATAATATACTCAACATAAAAAAAAAAAAAATAGAGCTAACTCGAGATGGGGGTTACATATATACAGATTTGTATTTTCCAACTAAATATGGAACCAGAAATATCTCACATGATCACAATTTACATTAACATAATAACACATTGAGTGAGAAAAAAAGGAATAAAACTTGAAACAATAATCAAATCAAGCGCAAAACTCATCCCAGGACAATAACACAAACTATACATATATGCTGAACGGAGGTAAATTGGAGCAATATACTTAACTCATCTAAACTCAATCCCAAAAACAGGAAAAACAGTGAGGCACCACACCAAGCACTTCAATGGAGAGAGAGAGAGAGAGAGAGAGAGATTTCATTAATCTATCAAATACAAATGTGAAGATAAATGGATTACTAACGAAACAAATCATCAGGATAAATAAATAAATAAAGAACATGGCCACCATTAGCTTTAGGAACACAGCAAATTCTTGGTCAGAAAACAGAAACAGATACAGAACACCATATATCACATTCACACGTTTCAAAAATTACAGAAAAACGGTAAATTATTGGGAGTAGCATATGGGTAAACGAACACCTAAAAAAAAAGTAGAATTTTGAGGAATTACCTGCAGGGTGGATGTTGGGGGAGATGTGGAGATACAGCGGCGAGTTGGAGAAGGTGACCAGCTGAAGCTAGGGCTCCTCAGCTCTCTCTGATTTTCGTTTATTTATGCTTTTATTTTATTAATCAATTCACTGTAATTTATCGCTGTACATTTGTTCTTTTATCCTCATCTCCTCTGAATTTACTAATATGCCCAATGCTAGATGCACCCATGATAAATAATTCAATGTTATTTTCTTTTTCTCCCCAATTTGTATTGTTGCCATTTTACTAGTTGGATATATTATTACTATTGTTATTTAGCTTGTCATCTAATCTGTATAAATTGTGAAATATATAAATTTATTGGATAATTACTTCAAATTAATTTATATTTAGTGATAAACTAAAAATATATTTATGAAATAGTTTCACTATAACTTGTTTTGGAGAACATCAGTGTTGGAATTTTTTGTTGTGATACTAACAACAAAACAAAACTTATAGATTAAAGTAGAAAACAAATGAGTATATACTATCAATTTTAATATATAAACTCAAATTTAACCATTATTTTTAGGGCACATTGAACACCCATTTCTACTTATCCAACTAGGCCAAAGTGGTTCTATACAAAAATGATATTAATAGATTTTCTTTATTCTAATTTTGTTCTCAACTGTTTAAAACAGTATCGGTTTACAAACCGAATTGTTTGTCCATGGTTCAAATTACTGATACAAAATATTCACTATATGTCTATGATTAAGATTGAATGACTTAATTATCTAATGCCTAAAATATTTACTATATGTCTATGATTAAGATTGAATGACTTAATTATCTAATGCCTAAAAGGTCCAACGACATCAACCTTGAACCTCCTAGTAACTAAAAAGTCTTTAAAAAAAAAACTATTTCAATTTCCATAGACAACAATAAATTGTCATATTTTAATTTATCTCGATCTAATAACTAGAAGAGTCTAAAAACCAAAACTATAACAATTTCCATAGACATCAATAAAGCTTATCATATTTTTACTTGATGGCAAGAAATTGAAATATTCTAATGCATTTATTAAAGCAAAAGGAGGATGTTTGGATATATTATATTACATTTAAGGACAAGAAGGACGNAGAAGAAAGAGTTGTTAGAATCCACTTTGCTTTAAATATATTAACGAATGAATAAATTCCATCTACTCAAATGAAATGGAAAAAAAAAATATATGTTATTAAGCATCAGAGGGGGCAATCCAATGTCTCCCATTAACAAAACTCTTGGCAAGGAATCGATGAGCCGAATCATAGTCCAGCTCTCGGGCCCATGACACTCCACGGACTGCTGCCGCTCCAGGCCCAAAGCACTTGTACACACCAAAAAATGCAGTCCTGCAAATCATCAGAAGTCCACAACTATTATTCATTATTTAATTTTTAAATTTCAACACACTTTTCGTAAATTATTAGAGATAATCAATATGAAAAAAGTACTCGGTACACTTATAAATTTATTTTTATTCTCACCAACAAATATCTTCTCTATTGTCATATAAACAAAATATTTTTTTCATTGAAAATATAGTAACTTTAATTGCTTATGAATGTCTATTTTGTAGTTTGCTTCTCTTATTAAATTTTGAATTGATTTATATTTTGCTTATACTTATTTATAAATAGTTTTTTATGATTTTATCTTAAATGATCATATTTTTTTGGGGATATCTTCTATTTCGAAATGAGTTCTCATTCCTATTCCATTCCATTGGATCACTAACGTGTATGTAACTCTGACATTATTATGAACATATGTTATTCATTCACTGAGTGAATGACACATGCATGAAATGAAATATGATTTAGAATAGAATATATCATTTCGTATTTTGTAGAAAAAAAATAGTTAGAATGAATAAATTGAATGAGAAGGCCCACTTGTTCTTGTTGCTGAGGTGATCCCAATCATCCCAACCTCCGTGGGCAACGACATCGTCAAAGTAGGTGTAGGAGAAGACAATCCTGGAGTACTGACCCATTGCTCGACCCACATAAAGTGGGCCCGTACCTGTCACCCTGCAGTTGACAAATGCAAAGCCCGTCTTCTCGTCAATGGAGTTTCTACCTTGGGCCGCTATCGACCCAAATCTTCTTGCTATTGAGTGAAGCTCACAGTCCTGCACGGTTATTTTTTAGTTTAACTATATTTTAACTTTTAAGCAATTAAGAAATCCTGAAAAATGAGGGGAATTGAGGAAATTATTCACCAAGAATGCATAATATAAAGTGGAATAGCATTTAACCCTAATTTAGTTAGTTTATAAGTATTGGTAGATGAGATTATTTAAAAAACTCTAATTTATCCCATATCCTTATTGTTAACGCTACATTTAAAATTATATTGTGTTTCAACTAACTTATCAACTAATTTACTATTTTAATTTTTTTATTATATTAACTATTTTTTCAATTATCATCCACCAACTACTAATTATTCTTGATTAAATTCACAAAATATGTAATTATTGTACCAGCTACCTTATCGGTCAATAACCATCAACTATTAATTCAAAATTAACTTATCAACTTCATTTAACTTATAATCCACGAACAATAATTTAGCTAAATTTATCAAACACACCCCAAAGTTAAATTTGCAATACTTGTCCATCACACTTTAGTAGTACAACATCCGTGATTACAGGGGTGCCAATTAACATCTCGGATTTACTCTATTTTGAGTTTTATAAAGTGTTGCTTCACAATTCAAGCAGGACGAGGTTGTTTATATACTGCGAGTGTTCACACTAGGGGCGGTACTGTAATTAACCAACTCTTTAAGTGTGAACGCAACAAACCAAGTAATTACGGTACCGCCCCTAGTGTGAACACTCGCAGTATATAAACAAATATACTGCGAGTGTTCACACTAGGGGCGGTACCGTAATTAACCAACTCTTTAACTGTTTGAAAAAAAAAGAAAAGATAAATCTCTTTAATTGATAAATAATATTATTACTTTTTAATGAATATTGATATATAATTTAATTTTGATTATAAAGATAGATATACATATTTATTTATATGTGCAATATGAATGTTAAATCGAAGCTCGTTATGAGACGATTAATTCGATATATCATATATGAAAATTTGATAAAAAAAGTATAAAAGCTATTAACTTTTAAAATATATTTATATTTTAAATTGATCAAGTGTTTTATAATTTTAAAGTTCTAATAAACATGCATAGAAGTCAAAATCTACTTGTACTACTCCATACCAAACAAAAATATTACAAATAACTAAAATACGACTCATATAATTACGAAGCACCATAAATCTAATATATTGAATAGGGACATTCTGCATAACTACTTTATTTCGTTAGCTAATTAATAAGTTTTGGTTTATAAGATTATTTCAGATAGTCGAACTTATCTCAACTGATTATCAGTGCATTTTGATAACTATGAGATTTTTATTTCACTTACCGAAATTCGTATTACATCATCTATTTTTTTAATTATATCATATAACAGCTATTAGTTCTAGATTGAAGTTTTGTTTTAAAATATAAAAATAAAAATTATCTCAATCATCCACCGTCAATTACAAAACCCAAAGTATGAACTTATCAACTATAATTTAACCTACAAACTATCAACCAATCCTAAATTTAGCAAATATAAGATAGAATTAACCTATAATACTTGTCACATTCATTATGTCATCATTTAGCTGTTCATTCACCTATGCCTAAAAGCTGTAATACTGTCCCATTCAGAATGGAAGATAGCGCCCGAGTGCTAATAGAATATCAGTAGCCATATTAAATTAGATATATCCACAAGATAATGTAATTAAATTAGATTTTCAAAATTCAATTCTATACAATAATCATTCATGTTAGAATTTAGAATACTGGAATGTTTTTTCATGGTACGACACAATCACTATTCAAATTGTCATTGACAAAGTAAAATTATATGTGTCTACTTAAATAAAGATTATTAGTACTTACTTTGTACATGGACCTTCCATTGCCGAAAATGAAGTCTATAGAGCCTTCAATGTAACAATCCTTGAAGTAATGGCGTCCCGCATCGTCGCATAGGGTGTCCTGCGCACCGTAGAATCCGCACCCGGAGAAGAAGGCTTTGTCACCCGATATCCGAAATGCCACCGCTTGCCACCCGTGCATTCCAGGCAAAGGTGCGGGTGACGTGTTCTATGTACAATACAATATATGCATCATATATATAAACTTGAACATAATGCATTCTTTCTTATATATAAAAAACAATATAAAGTATTAACATTAATATACATAAAAGCTAGAAAATTGATATGCATGGTTGTAGATCTTCAATGAAGATAGGGACTTGTAGTCATTCTTCAAAACGAACCACATTCTATCAAAGCCTCATGTGAGAGTCTAGTATATATATACTGAATGTCATACTTTAAAAAATAACTAACTATAGCGACAAAAATACATACTTTTTATCTAGAGAAAAATACGATGATTCCACCTATCGCACTTGGTCAATTTTGACTCGTCGAAACCACTTGTTACATCATTTTTTTTCCATTAATAATATGAAAAACAAGGAAATACATGATAAAAAGATTTGCATAAAAATTAAATAAAAATTAGTGGCTAGGAACTGACTAACTAACTAAGGTTTAATTAATTGCAAAATATAGTTAGTATCTTGTACGAGGTGACAATAATAGTCACAATCTTTAAGAATTGACAATAGTAACCTACAATTTTTAAAATTTCGGGGTTATTACCTAATTCTGGTCAAATTCGACAGCTATCGGAGAAAAGATACTCACTATATTTTGCAATTTAGTTGTGGATTTGGGTATTAATTTCAAAACTTTAAAAGTTGCTAGCTATTATCGTCAATTCGTTGCCATCGATATTTTGCAATTTAGCCAAGCCAAGTAACCAAGTATATTACCTTGAAGCTGATATTTCTAGCAGAGAAATATGAGGAAAAAACCGAAACAGAAGCCGTGTGATAGGTCCGAAGCTGCTGGCCGTCGGGCCCACGATCACAAGCCCTATCGTGCCACTCGATCACGGTCGACTCCCTCCCGGCCCCTTCCATCGTTATGTACGGCTTGGACGCCGGCACCACTACTTTCTCCCTGCCACGTAAGCAAGCAAGCCCAAATCAACAGTTAATCAAATTATTCATTAATTATATCGGTTGACTAACTAACTAACTAATTACATGTAATAACCGGGGCCGATGAGAATGAGCACGTCCTCGGTGTTGTTTACGGGGACCGCGTCCACGGCAGCCTGAACTGAAGTGAAATCTGCGGGCCCCAACGGGCCCACGGTCATGAGGCGGCGGCCAGTGGGCCCCACCCGCTTGTGATGGCCGCCGCGGCTGCAGGAGCTCGGTAAGATCGTGAGGAGAAAGATTAATATAACGGCAATATTACTGTGCGGCGCCATGGATTTGTGAGCGTTTAATTAATTAATTTGGGGAGTGAGTTTTTGAGGTTGAGATTTTTAATTTGTTCGATGGGAATAAGAAAATGATTGGAAGTTTTTGTGATGTATATGGAGTCTGTAGAGAGATTCTCAAAATTGTAGCGTCAGTTTCAGTTTAGTTGTGTGCGTGTGTGGGTATATATGTTTTAGTGTTGCTGTGAGGTGGGAGGCGGGGTAACGGTCATATTTTCTTTGTACCATTGTTTGATACATTATTTGATCTGCTATCTGCTATTCTATTTTCTTACTTTCATATATATTTGTAGTTATAATTAATTGAATTCTGATAATTAATCAAACCCGTACATTGTTTTAATATTTTAACAATCAACACAAATTTTAGGTTACCGGCCAGCCGTGTTTCCACGATTATTGAGCAAGTTAACGTATTAATTATATAATTGGAATAAATATTACATATTTATCGTGTAATATTTTTGTTTGTTTTCTTTTTAAGTATAATATTATTTTAATAAAAATGTATACATTCGGAAATAAAATATAATGTCGGTCTAACACTTAGACTAACTTAACATAAAACTGTTGAATAATACAAGAAAAGGGTACAATAAATGATTCCGTGAAGGTTTTTAGCCATTAGATATACGATTATCGGAATGATTCCGTAAGGATTTTTACCCATTAGTATATAGTTATTGTAGATACATGAAAGTTACAAGATACAAATAATTATGCACTAGTTCTTATAGTATTTTTGTAATTATATTAAAGTCATTAAAAAAAAGACGAAATACAATTTAATATCACACACATTTTTATTATTTCACAATTCACATGTCATGTTAATTTTATAACACACGTAGAATGCAAGAACGGTTACTACAGTACAATTATCAATATAAGTATGTTAATGTAATAGTGAAAAATTCACTGATCGGAGTGCAATCTTCTGTGAAAGTGATATATGATGACCTCAAGTACTATCTTTCATAATTGAGTTGGAAAATCATTCTGCAATAATTTTTGAATCATGAATAGCCCTTTCCTATATGTGCTATGGCCATCATGCCGTGCAAAGTGTGAATTTAATTTTTCCATTACGAAAGGAAAAATAAACATTTATATTAGAGTATAAACATATATCCTCCTTATCCATTACAATTTAAAGCTCATCATACGAGCAATATTGTAATGTTTTTCCGTAGCATAAAATGTGGGACAGTTATGCCCCACTACAAAAACTTGAGCTAGGCCAAGAACTAATGGGCCCCCGCATCGAATACTTTCTATGTTTCTGAACGTTGTAGCGATTAGCGAAAGAGAACAGTAATTTACTTGTGGTGCATGAGACAAAAAACTTGTTGTCTTTCCCAGTTTTTTGGTTTTCGTTTATTTATTTATTCTTTAGGAACAAAATGCCATTCCCCACAACAAATGTTTGTCAGGGTTCACGGGGGCCTGTCTGAATTCTGAAACGTATAGTCGTCGATTAGGGCCCGATGCTTTGATGTCGTGCAATAGTTTTCCGTTGGTGATTTTTTTTTTTTTTTTTTTTTTTTTTTCACACGAATAAGTCATAATAAGTATAGCCAAATTAATTAGGAGTGTTATTCAAGCTGAGCCGAACTGAGTAGCTCATGCTCGAGCTCGTTTATAACTTTGCCCCCACCTGAACCCAAGTTAACCCGTGTTCCAAATCGCCTTCTTAACTCGATTGTTTCGACTTGCAAAACATCACTTGTCTCGTTTAAGCACGTGAAATATTGGTTCAGTTCACTTCACTTAATAAACCTAAAGCCTTAAACGAGTTCTTTGTAAATACAGAATATTCGTTTGTGTTCAACTTGATTGTTTTGCAAGTTATAAGTTATAATAACAACTTCAATATGTTTTTTTTTTTTTTCATTTATTATGTTAAGAGAGACCTTAAAGATTGGAATATCTCCAAAGATTTAGCGGTGGATAGGAGCGCTTGGAGGCTAGCAATCAACGTGCCAGAACCGTGACTTTTGCTCTTTTCTCTTTTGCTCCAATCTCTTCCTTTTGTTTCAACCCCTTTTTGTGTTTCTTTTATCGATGGTTCTATTGGGTTTCATTTCTAGCCTNACAAAATTCACATATGTCCACTCCAATCCTTGAAGTCCACACACACATCCACAAAGAATGATTCACTTTCTTCTTCATCATGTCTACAAATCAAAGCTCCTTTTTTTTTTCCCTCCCTTTTCTTCCTAATACAATTTATTGTTCGATGGCAACACATTATCGCCTCCTAATCTCGGCAAGAACGCCTCCCGGTCGAGCGACACCTGTAACGAAGACACAATCCTCCCAAACGCCGTCCACACAATCGGCGCACAGCAAAAAGCGTACCCAAATACCGAAAGTGCCCTCACAATCCCATCCGGATAGCCCGGGTAAGCCATTACAAGTAGAGACCCAAATATCCCAATACCAGGCACCAACACGGGCAACATCGGGAGCAAGAATACGTTAACCGTAATGCACGAGAAGGAAAAGGCTCCCATAAGGTAGAGTCCCCACCCAACTAGCGGGTGGACTGTATAAGGTATGAGGAAGAAAGGTACAATGTAGGATGCGAATATGGCCCACATTCCTATGAGTTTGAACCCGGTTTGCACCAAGAACACGCTCTTCTCCTCTCGTCTGTAACAGAGCTTGGACATGTTGGGCCGGGCCAAACGGGCCACGGCTATTATGCCCACGTAGAATATGGCTTGAATCCAGACGACAGGCATTTCCTCACCGTACCTAAAAAAAGGTAATGCGACGACAAAAAATAGTAATTGTCGAAACAAAACGAAACTAGCTGAGAAATTATATTTTGCATTGTGCTAGCTACTTGTAGAAAACTTATTACCCGAGAGTTTGAAGGCGGTTTTTATGCCACTGGATGCCGAGAGGGAGAACGGGCCACGACCACCAGTACCACGGTTTAAGCCATGGGGCGCCCGGGAAAGTTATCACGCTGTTGGGCCCACATGGTACGCTCCAACGGAGCCTCAAATCTAACATTTATCCGCAAATATTATAAATGATGATTAAGATATCAATCACACATGTTAAATGCCTAAATCCATTTAACACTAATTCTTAGTATTTATATTTTTTTGTTTTTACGCTTACAATAGTAAGAAGCATCCATTTGGTAGCCGAGGGGAAGTCTGTAGGCACCGTCGAGCATTGTGCCGTTTAGAGGCGGATGAAACATCGGGCGGTCGAGTAAATCAGGGAAATAGCTTCCCAAAAAGCCCTGGTCCGCGCCATCAGGGTTACTTCTCTTGATCTCCAGTTCGTGCATCATATCGTTGAAAACCTCTAACGACGGCTGCAATTTTATTACACGTATTATTAATGTTTTACTAGTGAACATATATTATTTTATGTTTTATATGTACCTGCAATACGAAAAGACCGGTGTGGAAGATGCAGGGGTTGATGAAGACAGCACAAAACTGGCCGCATTGAAAAAGTTCGTCCGTTTTCTGAAGGAAGAGGTTATCGGCATCGAGCATGATGACTCGGTCATAGTTCACGAGCTTCCAAGCGTATAGTTTGTTCAGTGTCAGCTTAAATCGCCAATGTAAATCAGATTGGCTTACGTACGGATTCTTTATATTCTCCACTCTCACCACCTTTGCCCCATCTTCCTCTTCCCTGAGCACACACACACATGACATGAATATTCATTCAGAACAGAATGTATTATTACATGAATATCCATAGGTCTGATTTACATTCACTTCATACTGCAGGTTATCTAGAATATATTGGAAAAATAATTTTACCTAAGAACAGGGAGTTTTGTTCGTTCGAACGATCATATAGACTTAAACAACGAGCGCAAACAAATATGTTCGATGCATCTTGACAAGTGACAGCGTAAATTAAACATGCACAAGTTGGAAGCATCTGCAAACCATTTTATGCAATAATTTAGCTAAAAAAGAGAGCATCTTTTTTCGACCCTTCTCGGAAAATCTCTGATATATCATCCGTAAAGTCATCAAGTTCGATGACAAAGAAGTAAAGGCGAAAATAGGTCGTTTTTATGGTTCACATAGCTGCAGTTACTTTGATCTGTTTTATGTCGCGTCTGTTAGATATTTGTACGTCCCTGATTTCATATTTAATAGAGCAACTTAATTAATATACAGTTCATCAAGAAACATAAAAAATCACTTGTTAGAAAGCAGATATACCCTCCCAGGAAGAGCATCTTCTGATGGTCAAAATTTTGCTGTAAATAATATTCGAATATACTTTTCTTTCCATAATCTATTATGGAATAAAAAATGAAAATTAAATATTCAAAGACTTGAAATTGATGTAGACATGTAGTTTTCACTTGCACCAGATAGTATTGATACTATCTTAGCTGAAATGACTAGGATTGCACTTAAAAAAAAAGGAAGATGGGAACTTTTGACTTGTACAAGATTGGAAGGGGGAATGGGATTTCCTAGAACCGTCTGAACAAATAATAAGAAACGGTAAACAATATATTAAATAATAAAAGTTTTGGAAACTTTTTTAACAAAATAAAAAAAAAAAAAAAGTGGAAAGCCAATGGACGTGCATCCAGGTCCTGCAACACTTTTGTACTTGGGCTACCAAAACATGAAATTGAAGGCCGCATATTACGATAAAAAATAAATTAAATAATGCAATGATGCACATGATAATCCCATATACAGTAAAATAATAATACTATAACATTGTTCAATTCAATAAGTACACTCTAACTAAGTTTAGGCCACCTTAATTTTAATCATTACATGTTAATTCACAACCACAAACTCAAAATCAATCTCAAATATCCACTCAAATATTTTTTTTTTTTCAAAATTAACTCGTTTTATTTATAAATCAAATCAAATTCAAAAGAGCTCACTTCTAATAACTTCAGGTGGCCCCTAGTTTTTCCAGCCTAATAAATAAATTTAAAATACTTGTAAACAAGAAATTAACAATAAGTATGCTGTTAAGCATAACAATTAGATAATCATATATTTTCCAACAAATATGCATTTTTTTAAAGTAAAATATTGCAGTCTAAATAACAACATAGAAAGAAGTATAACATTTCATAATATAAGTATATGTTCAAAAATATAACAAATCAATTCTCCCAACACTTAAACTGTTTTACACAAAAAGTTGTATGAAATTAAATATACTTAATTTTTTTTTCAAATATTGGATATTGAACAAATCAATTTTCCTAAGACTTAGACTGTTTTACACAAAAAGTTATATGAAATTAAATATACGATTTTTTTTTTTTAAATATTGCTTCAAGAATGGCCGGTGGGTACACTAGGAACAAATAGGTCAAGTCACCCCACAATGTGACCTTCAATGCCAATCGAGAAGCCAGACAACATATACTTTATTATTGGGCAGTAGGACCAGTTAAGCAATGCATTTCTTAATTAGAAAGTCCACTCGTGAAATTTGGCCTCGTCTCTTGTAGAGTCCCTATATATCTTTTTCCCCAAACACCTTTTTTCCCTTATCAAGAAAAATGGGACACATTTATCAACTTTTGTTCTTAATTTTCCGGATATAAAATAAATTGAATTTCTGAAAATAAAACCAAGAATTAAGAACTTAAAGAAAATAAAATAAATACTCACATGAAATAAAATACTTCGGAGGAAATTATTGACCTTAGATGGCATTTGTTTGACAAATTGTGGTCTCCAAGTCGTTGAACCAAGTTATCTAACTTAGTTGACTAAACACCAAGTTGCATATGATTCCTAAAATTTGTTACCTGATTTTTAGTAGACTCAGGCCAAAATAGCAAAGATATTTTAAAACTATACAATATAATGAAAAAAATCAGGAATGTTTAGTAATTTTTGTTATTATATTTAAAACATTAGAAAATAGCAACTTCGGCCACTTGCCCACTCCCTCGTTTATAATAACAGAGTAAACTATAAAAAATTATTTTATTTTTTGAATCTTATCGAGCTGAACAGAGTCCAATTTGTTATCTAAACGAGTCACAGCTCGATTGCAAAAGTTAACGATTGACGTCTATTTTTTTGATTTATCGGCTTCTTACTAGTTGCTATAAAATTCAATGTGAATCGTTCACTTTTCTACTGTAGCTAATGACACTGTTACTTCAAAAATCAAAACACGAGAAAAAAAAAAAAATTGTGATGCCCAAAACACAGACCAAAAAACATCAATAGGAAACCAATTTCTTTAATAATAAAATGACTAAAGGAAAAAGGAAAACGAGTTGAACTCACAGAGCTTGTACCCAATGGATGGGCACATCCATGGAGGCAATGACGACACGATCGGCGTCGACCCCAAGCTCCCCGAGAGATCTGAGCATGACACGTGTAGCTATATAGAACTCGTAGTCTCTCGGAGTCCCCATATACATCATGGTTGCATAGGCGTTTCGGTACACCCTCCCGTCGGAGAACACTACTCCGGTGCTCAGAACAACCCACAAAACGACAAGACTCAAAACCCTCTGCGTTTTTGCCCCCATTCTCGGAAAAATGCTAATCCTTCTCTCTCTCTCTCTCTCTTTTAAGGAAAATCCTTAAATTTCGGCCGTTCGACGTTGTCTCGTTTGCCGTGTCCGCCTGAATATACTCCTTGTCGGAATAAAAAATAAGAAATTTTAAATGCAATTTTTGAGAAGAAGGTGATGAAATACAACACAAGAATTTGCCACCCCTTTTTTTTTGTCGCAAAGGATATGAAAAATATTTGATTTAAAGTTGGGCGTTGAATTAGAATAGAAAGATTGAGGTGTGAATAAATAGGTATTGATTTGATACCATAATTACGCGTTTGATTGGGGGCGGAGGGGACTGAGGAGTGAGGAGGAAGCACATGTTGTTTAGGAATGGGGCTAACGAGTTGTCCATATGCAGATGACAGCCTATCCTTATATTTATCTGAAAAATATTAATAATATGATTTTTTTATTTTTTTTTAAAAAAAGTGATTTTTGTTCCAAAAAAAAAAAGTGATTTCGATTTCCGAATTCCACATAATGCTAATAGTTAACGCCTAGCGGATTGTGCTACCGGAAATATATGTGACAAAAAATTCGTTATTCCTTTATTTATTTATTTTTTTCTTTTTTATTATTATTAGTATTTTTTTGTACAAAGAGAGAGACCAAACACCTAAGAATTAGAAATCAACACATGTCTTGGCTAAGTGTTAGAATATACATTTGTGAGTTGTCCCACATCATCTACACAGGAAAAATAGGACTAACTTATAAGCCTAGTGGACTACTCCTCTTTCCACCAATTGATTTTGGGATGAAACCTCACTTGAGCTTCATTTGAGCTTTCCTGATTTGGTGCGCTTCGTCCGTGGGACGGCACCCGTCAACCCCCGTTTGTCATGGTATCAGAGCCGGTTCACCCAGCCCAGTTGGGCTTGGGCCTACATGGGACCGGACCGCACCCGTCAACCCCCGTTTGTCATGGTATCAGAGCCGGTTCACCCAGCCCAGTTGGGCTTGAGCCTACGTGGGACCGAGCAAGGACGTGTCCGTCACCCAGCCTAGTTGGGCTTGGGCTTCTGAAGGACTCACGAGTGAAGGGGATGTTAGAATATACACTTGTGAGTTGGGATATACACTTGTGATGTTAGAATATACACTTGTGAGTTGGGATATACACTTGTGAGTTGTCCCACATCGTCTATACAGGGAAAATAGGCCTAACTTATAAGCCTAGTGGGCTACTCCTCCTTCCACCAATTGATTTTAGGATGGAACCTCACTTGAGCTTCATTTGCTTCTCTGATTTAGTGTGCTTCGTCCGTGGGACTGCACTGTCAACCCCCGTTTGTCAGTAAGAGACCCCGATAATATCATGATATAACCAGAGCCGGTCCTGACCTTCATAAGGCCCTGGACAAAATGTGCTAATGTTCTATTTAGTTTTTTTTTTTAAAATTATAAAAAAGAATAATATTACAAGCTATAATAACAGTTGTGAAACTTAAAATATAACTATAGCTAAATTTTATACTTCCATTTGAAGCTCCACTTTTGGTTGAGCTACTTGCCATGTGTAGAGGGTCGAAGGTAGAGATTGCAGTGATTTTATTGGAGCTGAAGAAACAATTTCTTGTCGAGGGAGAGGGTCGAAGGTCGAGGGTTTTGGGGATGAAGGGTGGAATTTATGAATTGAATTTAGGGATTTGTTTTTTGGAATATGATTTAGAGATTTGATTTTATTAGGTATTTTATAAGATGAAACGCCGTCGTTTCATTTGAGGTGTTTATTTGGCCTGACACACGTCTTCCGCATCAGTGTCATATTGGATTAAATAGCCGGACAAGTTAGCATTGGTTGGTCGGAGCTCGGGTCAATGCTTCATTTTGCAAAAGACCAAAATATTAGATATCGAAGTGTCAAAGTCCAAATGTGGTGACATAAATGAAAGGTCAATAAAGTCGTGATGTCATATGCAAATAATTTTGCCTAGTATGTATGTAAATGAACCTATGTATTTCGGCCTCCTACAGTCCACACGCAACCAATTGGCCCAACAGCTTGTAATTAAAGCCCAACTTCTCATCAATTGCAATTTTAGCCTAAATTAAAAATTCGGAGAGTGTTCATCTCCTTCATGCCTTGCACCAAATCTGCTGGTGGCGGCGGACCTCAACTGTCGGCGGCATCGACCGAAGGATTTTGCTCGTGAGTGGCGGGGGACGTTCTGATAGTAGCGAGGCACCCTGACCCTGAACTCGCGGCGGCTCACGACAGCCCATCTCTTGTGTCTCTTACACCGGCGGCGGCCCATCTCGCAGCGATCAGACCTCGAACTCGCAACGGCTTGCAACAGCCCATCGGTTGTGGATCTTGCACCGGCGTCGACACAGTTCGCAGCGATCAGGCCTCGAATTCATTGCTCGTCCAACGGCGGAGGCGGGGTCTCGCCGTTCACCTTGACTCGGTTGGAGGCGGCATCGACCGACGAGTTCTGGTCGCGAGCGGCGGACGATCGGACCTCGGTTGTGGGCGACATCGACCGAAGAAGTGATTTAGACATATATTCAATCCCCAGTCAAGCAGAATAATTCGTGAGCTATTTCCTTTTCCTCCAAAATCCGATTTTTATCTCTTTCAACACCCCCGCTTTTTTTTTTT